AGCACAGAGCAGAGACAGTTCTTACCTCATACTTGAGCTTCTTAACTTCACTACAGAGAGCCGCATAAACTGTGATGACTTTGTTCAGAACCTGCACACAACACAAACGGTCGTTATCACATAAATGGGAAAAAAAAAAAAACTTTGTGGACACAAGATGGAAAAAAAAAAAAAGACTTTGTTTTATTTACCTTGTTGTCTGTTTTAATCAACTCTAACAAAGACGACTGCTCATAAGGGAGAAGCTGAAACAAAACAGAAGGAAGGAAGGAAATTATACAAGTTGAAATTGTGTAAAAACGACGGTAGCCTTTTCAGTTCGATGTACTGCCACTGGGTTGTGGTGTTTTACCTTCAGGGCGATGGGGTCCAGAGTGAAGTCCCACACATCTCCGATGGAGTCGTCCAAAGCCTCTTCGATTCCCTTCAGCTGAGACGTGTACTCCTCCAGAAACTTACTGTAGTTCTTCAGCTGGACCTCTGTGTGTATCTCTGTTGGGTGGAAGGTTTCACATTTGCAGTGACAGAGAGTAAATATTCATGACTGTAATGCGGAGTGTTGTGTAAATGATATATTACTCGAAACATATATAATCATTTAAGTATAAAGAACAATAATGCTTAATCTTGAGGGTTTATTCATTATATGTTCCTCATTATAATGTTGATTTATAAAGATTTGTGTGCTTGCAAGGTATGTTGTTCTGCAGGACAGGGTTCTCGTTCTCTCAGATGACTGTGTGACTGCGAGATAATCCGATAACCGATAACCTGGACGAGCTGCGGATGTGGACAGGATGTAAAGATAAGGGGCGTACATCCCAGGGAAGGAACAAACGAACAACGGACAGAAAGATGGGAAACAGCTTATGTGACATTTTGTGCAACCTGTCATGTGACTGAACAGCATAAGAAAGGGTCGGAGGAAAAGGTCTTAGTCTCACTCTGTCTGATGCAAGGGAGAGTCTGACCCAGAGCTCTGTAATGCAATATTCAGTGTGTGATTAAACTGATTAATTGAGACCGCGCTGAATTTGTTTCGTCTTTATAAACGAACACGCGGAGAAAAGAGAATCTTCTCCAACAGGAGATTCTTGTCTAAGGTTGAATGATTTTTAGAAAATATCTCACTGTGATTTTTTTTATTTTTTATTTTTGGACAAATATTACGATTTGATTTACAATTTTAGTTTTTTAGTTACAATCTGGGTCTGATGTGCTGCAAAATGTACAGAATAGGGGTATTAAATAACAAGACTAGGGTTGCGTACATGCCTTGATCACCTATTATACATTCATCATAGAGCAACTACCCTTTTAAGTGTCAATCTGCTCCAAATATAAAAACTAAATTACAGCATTTGTGTCATTATTTAACAGCCACATCTCATACATTCCTAACTTTCAGTGTATTAAACTGCTATTCTTATTTGTAAGTGATTAACTGTTTAGTCCTACTTGAATCTGTAAACTTTCTGTTGCTTTGTACGTCTAGTCTGTTACCATTTTACAGAAAATAATGCATTGTTTTACTCTGCAGATATGTATTACTCATAGGGGTCCTTTATAAATAGTGTAATAAAGCCATATTTCCCTACAAAACTTGTACTACCTTTATTATGTATATGTAATAAATACTGTAATATATTAATTATAAACTCTTGGAATAATGGTGTCACATGTTTATATGTGGTGAATAATTAAGAAGTCACACTGCAATGAATAAAAACACTGCATTAATTGAATAAGTCCTGCATTAAAAATGACAAGAAAGCACTACAAGGAAAAGTATTTAAAGTGGGAGTAGTGGGGAAAGTATTTAAATGATGTTTATGTTCAACTAGTAAAAACAGAGCTTTAGCTAGCTCACAGCAAGCTAAGAAGCTACCAGCGCTAACATTTAGCTTTAATATTGACAGTTAAGGGCCAATGTTTACATGGGCTGCTAATAATCGAAACCAGCTAGCGTGAGTATTTCTATTTCGTGTGCCGGAATGAGGAAGAGGAAGCAAATACACAAAGGAAAACCCAAATTATTTGGCAGTTTTGCTTCCTTTAAAAACACAAATAAACGGAGTCACGTTATCTGAGCTGTCAAAAGTAACCGACCGTCTGTCAGACTGACCAGCTGTATGTGACAGGAGCCGTTAGCTAACTTAGCCCCCGCTATCCCCTCACAGCACGACATTCACACTTCACTTCACATTACACATCAACTAGACATTGCGCCAAATTATCCCCAGCAGGTGCATTTAACGAGAAAAACGTTTAAATTTAACAGCAAGAGGTGTTTTCCTCCAGTAAATACACGAAGCCCGGTGCTGAAGCATCTTTGCTAAGCTAGCACTGGATGCTAACGTAGTGAACTTTAGCCCGTCGCTGTTTTTCTCAGGTCGACACGGAGCACTTACTCTGAGAACCGTCGTCAAAACGGTCAAACTCCCAGTCTGGAGCGATGGTTTCTACCGCCATACTGCCGCAACTGTTGTCCCAAAACCCCCCAACACAGTGCTGTTAAAAAGTCGGGCTACACGATCCCATGATGGATCTTATGATTTTTGTGAATGGCCGCAAGTGCTCATGGGATATGGAGTCCAGAAGAGTTGACTGTCAGAGGAGAGATAGATAGATAGATAGATAGATAGATAGATAGATAGATAGATAGATAGATAGATAGATAGATAGATAGATAGATAGATAGATAGATAGCAGCAATTTTTCCACCTTATGTCTTTGACCCGCATGATTTGCAAGAACACTGCATGTTTTTTGTGCACTGATTTCCTTATTTTTCTTAAATCTAAATATCTATAGCTACAATTTCCAAGTTATTTCAGACTGACATGAATATAAAATGGGAGACACTGTGCTCTACGCAAAGTGAGCTGATCCCACGTCCTTTTCTATGCTTAATCCACTCTTAATATTACCACAGTTTTTATAGCTACAGTCATATTTAAAGGTTTTGCTTAAAATACTTGTTTTCGTTAATTACGTTCAGTAGTGATTCTGGTGACCGACAACCAGTAAATGTCCAGGAGAAGAGATGCGGGTGCTGGTAAGGAGAAAAGGTTCACTCATAACACATGAATAACTGAATAACTAATAATAATCATGTCAAATTCAATTCAAATCAAAATTAAAATCCAAAATCAAATCAATAAATCAACTATATCTAGTAATAGGAAGGCATCCATACACACAATATTGCCGAAGCTGCACATACCCTGCTGTGAAATGAAGAAATCTCCCTCATAAAACACTTGACATGACAGAAAAGTGGCGTGACTTGGGGTAAACAGTTCAGACTTTCAGACACAGTGAAATAAAACCCCAACATTTTTGACCAGCTATGTATATATACCATAATTTTGAGGACTTTAACACATGTAAATGTAAAGTTCCATCGAGCGTCAGGTATTGCTTGTAAATTCTACGGCTTGTCCCTACACAACCATGACAGCCTGGTTGTAATACAGTCACAGGCCAGCACTGCACTGCTCCTAACAAACAACTGTCAAGTATGTCATGCTGTCTGTCTTATACAAGCTGTGACTGTATTTGTGTGTTGTGTGTGTGTGTTTGTGTGTGTGTGTGTGTGTAGGGGGTGGGTAGGGGCACAGCGGAGACTCAACACACCATTCAGATGCCGACCGAGGCCACGAGGAAGAGTCACGGTCAGCAGCAGTGTGCCAGAACAGATGCTGCTTCATCTCCTGTGTTGTAACAAAAGGGTAAGACGCTTTTATTTATTCCACAGGTTGTATAATTAGGTGGCTAGCACTGTCGCCTCGCAGCTAGAAGGTCGCCGGTTCGCGTCCTGGTGACGACATCTGAGATCTTTCTACGTGGAGTTTGCATGTTCTCCCCGTGCAGCGTGGGTTCTCTTCAGGATCTCCTCCCACAGTCCAGAAACATGTTGAGGTTAATGAAATTGTCCGTAGGTGTGAATGTGAGTGTGCTTGGTTGTCTGTCTCTAAGTGTAGCCCTGTGATAGACTGGTGACCTGTCCAGGTGAACCTGCCTTCACCCTGAGTCAGCTGGGATAGACTCCAGCCCCCCATGACCCTAGTGAGGATTAAGCGGTGTATAGATAATGGATGGATGGATGGATGTCAAACTATCACCAATTCTACAAAAGATATTCAGAAAGTGTTTGGTTATTAAATGAATGCATTGGCAGAGATGCTGAGGAAGATGACGACATACCAAGAGGAAATAGGCCTTGCCAATTAATCTTACACGGCAATTAAAACTTTCTCTGAAGTTCTTATGCTGACCTCAATCCTTTGATCTTGACCTTTGAGTTGATTTGTGCTCAGCTGCAGAAATCCTGCATGTAGTTATGTTTGTTTGATGTTCTCTGCTTTGCTTTAGCATCTCCAGATATATGGGTTAAACACTGATAACATAATCACCCAGCCTTGAATCATCGACTTTTTAATAAGAACGGGGAATGCTTGTCTTCATAGTTATCTATATGACACTATATTTCATAGAACAAAGTTTGAATGACTTATACCACATCTACCAGATTTAAAGCCTTTTCTACAGGAGTGGAAACAAAACCCACATTTTCAACAATTCCTTCCTTCTAACTTGATAACATCAGCTGTTCACTACCTGCTCATCTCTTAGGAATTTCAAATGAAGCGTATTGTCTCCGTCAGACAACGCAGCCTCAGTGCTGCTGATGGGAAACAGGCATGAGGAATGATAATGCAGGCGATCCGTGCCATCAGATGACTCTGAAACAGACCTTATTCATGAGCCGAGCTGTCTATATGCTAAAGTCGCACACTTGACTTCTTCATGGAAGAAGGGGGAGGAAGTTGGGGGAGATTTTGTATGCTGGTAGTTACAGCTACTAAGTTGTATTTCATTGTCAACCAGTGTTCTTCACAGCAAATCATTCTTGGTGTTGCTCATTTTCTTTTTATCTTTGTGCTCACAGCCTCAAGCCGGAGCAGCAGGATCGACACCCTGACAAACTTTGCGCCATGGTTGTCCCAGAGTCACAGGATAAGAAACTGTCCCAAAGCGGCTCTGTGGGCCGGAGCCAACAGCACAGTGCCAACCCGTCTTCATCCCAGCCCTCTGGAAGTCCACAACATCTGAGCTCGAATGGAAATATACCACCGGTCAACGCAGGTCTCCATTACGAGTCGCAGGACTACACCGAGACAGACTCTCTGCTCCCCAATGAGCTCTACAGCGGATCGAGGTTCAGCAGATCCACGAGAGCGAAGGATGCGGGTGGCTCAGGTGCACCCGGGGAGTCACTCTGCTCCATGGTGCTGCAGATCCTGGTGCCATTTCTGCTGGCTGGACTTGGGACAGTTTCTGCTGGGATGCTGCTTGAAATGGTTCAGGTGAGGAAACGAGGAGACAGAAGTATGTTGATCTCATTTCAAGTCTTTTAAGGATTATAAAAAATAAAATAAATTAAAGATATTAAGAGCAGAAAACATTCTCCTTATGCCAGGAAGCAAAGAGATGAAGAGAGGTGAAACAGGTGCAGACAGAAAAAAGTGTTAAAAGAAGAGAGAAAGGAAGAATGAGAGTCATGAGATTATATTATGTGACATGACAACAGAATATATGAGGCAAAAAATAGGGATCTGATGTGGTAGGATTTGGAAAATGACGAGAGGGACGAGGATGATTATTTGATTGTGACACGTTTAAACTAACCGCACCATGCATCGTACACAGCCTCAGCTGAACGTGAAGATGATTTATTGTGTGTTTGTGGTGTCGGTTTCGATTGCTCGTATACAACAACTTTACGACGGTGTGTTGTGTTTTCATGGCAGAACTGGGACGTGTTCCAGGAAATCACAGAGATCTTTATTCTGGTACCGGCTGTTTTAGGCATGAAGGGGAACCTGGAAATGACTCTGGCCTCAAGACTCTCAACCGCTGTGAGCGTGCGCATGCAAACACACACACACACACACACACACACACACACACAGACACGTGCACACATGCTGGAAATTGAATGAAAACACAAACCTCTTATCAGAAAACTGGCTAAAGGGAAAAACCACAGCACAGCAATGCATCGACAGGCTGACTACAACCTCTTTCTCCGAACTGTATTTTTGTCTTCTTGCATCTCGGGTGTGAAACTCCTCACTGACCTGCGAGAGCAGCAGCAGATCGCGTTGCAGCAAAATATCCTGCAGGACAAATGACGCTAACAATAGCCCAACAGTTCACATCTGACATCACTGTCCTCTAAAAGGGGAGATCATCAAATGTGATGATACAAAAATTATTTGCAAAATCCTGACATTTCTAATTTCTCTGTGTCATAGATCTACACTATTACACTCTATTTTGAAGTAGTATCCACATTATTTACACGTTTGTGCATTAAAATCCAGTTTATTGAGGGATTTGTGCATTAATATCTGGATTTTTGACACTTCTGTGCATTAATAGACTGTGAATTAACACCTTTGTATGTTAACATCCAAGTTTTTGACACTGTTGTATATTAATTATTGTAAATTATTGACAATTTTGTGCACTATTGTTCAGGTAATTGACACTCCTGTGCCTTAATATCCAGGTTTTTGACTCTTTTGTGGGTTACCATCCAGGTTTTTAACAATTTTGTGCATCGATAGCCAGTTATTTGACATTTATGTGCATTATAATCCTGGTTTTTAACACTTTGACATGTTCCTTATCAGGTTATTGACAATTTTGTGAATTAATTTTCAGGTTGTTGACACTCGTGTGTGTTAGTATCCAAGTAATTGAGGCACTTGTGCAATAATATGAATATAAATTCATACGTAGTTGGAAATAGAATCTGACAAATGCAGCATAAACCTGCACCTGCGTAATTATTTACTCAGTGGTTGAATCTGCACTTGATTATTTGTTTGCTTCTCTGGTATACAATGTTTAACTTCTCTTTAAATATATTGTGTGAAATTTTGTACGGTCATTGTTGTTTTTACAAAGCACAGAAGAGGTCAGGATGCCTGTTCAATACAGGCTTAGTACTTCTACATAGGTTTTTTTATTTTATTTTTTTTGTAATTTGGTATGAGTTTGGAGCAGAAATACCAAATCATTGGTGCCACTACAAATATAAATATGTTAATATGTTAATTAAAAATGCTAATTTGCCCCACTGTTATTTAAAAGTTGATATATTTTTTTTGTTGTTTTTAATGAGCTAATAGATGTTTGCTGTCGTCAGGTGAATGCAGGGAAAATGGAATCGAGCAGAGAAAAGTGGATGTTGATTGTCGGGAACTTGGCACTCAAGCAGGTACATTATTTCTCAATTAAGAAACATAACTTTGTGACTAATTGCGCTTGTAAACCTTATACCTGTTAATCTAATGATACAATTTAAAAGCACTCTTTTTTGTTTTAGCATATTTTTCACTACTGCTGTTGTTTTACAGCTTCAAGCCACGGTGCTGGGCCTGCTAGCGTCTCTGATGGCGACTCTGTTGGGCTGGATGGCAGAAGGAAGGATGCCTTTCAATCACGTGGTGCTCTTGTGTTCAACCAGCGTTTCTACTGCTTTTGTGGCTTCATTGTTACAAGGTAAGGACACAACTTGCTGTCAAGTCTGTCCTAGACAACACCTTGAAAACACAATGCTGCATACCCTCTTTATGTTTAAATACCTTTAACACACATACAGTATACATTCACACCTCCCAAAGTGTGTTTTGTTCTTTTTTGTATGCTGTTGTTCTTCACTGATGTTACTGTATAAGGCCACTCCTCACTTGTTGGTCTTTCTTTGTCTTAGTTTCCTGGCCAATCCTCAAATATACCAAAGAAAATAATGTACATTTTCAGAAAGTGTTTCGTCTCTTTTAACTTCAGCCAACTGACTAAAATCACAGAAACGATTCTAGAAAGAGGGGCGTGAACTGAGGGACTGTGGCGCCATCGTTCACATGAATTTGTCGTGCTGTCGATCATTTTTGGTTGCAGAATATCTTCTGATCAAATCTCATTTTAGATTTAATCATAGGCTAATTATTCATACCTCAGTGCCACAGAGGCAGAGCGGTAGCAAGGAATGCAAGTATTCAGTCTTCTGCAACACCTTTTGTCAACTTGATCGATCTGTTCATTTGACCTAGGTTGACCTTTGTGGGGAGAATGGGGTCTGTGGGTGAACATGTCTTTTCTGTTCTTCCAAGAAATGCACAAGCAGTGAGGTCATGAAGGTAAACAGGTGAAAGGTGTTTTGCTAGAGCAATGTACAAGCATATAAAATTTCCATTACAGAGGTCTTGAAAGCACATTTCTTTTATTATACTCTAATGAAGAGTTTTGCCATTTAAGTTTAAAGTTAAAATAATCCAGCCAAATAAACACCTTAAGGACTCAAATGTGACGAACTTCCTCATGTCTTTGAACATCTGCAGGTGTCGCTATGGTCGGAGTGATCATCGGCTCCAAGCGGATGGGAATCAACCCCGACAACGTGGCCACACCGATGGCAGCCAGCTTTGGGGATCTCATCACTCTGGCCTTGTTGGCCTGCTTCAGTCAGTGGTTCTACTCCTTCCTAGGTGAGAGAGACAAAGACAATAGGAATAGGAAGTTCTGGGTGCAAGAAGGTCAAGAGGTCACAGCAAAGAATGTCGTCTCCTCTTCTTCAGAGGTGTGGTTGTCTTCAGAATTGACATTTTTGTGACTCTTATCAGGTTCTGGTGGATGTGGGAGACTTCCTGTTGTCTCCATGAGGGCCATAGGTGGTCATTTTGATTGGTAGTATTTACAACAGTTTCATTGATCTTTAATGCAGTCAGAAGAATGTGCGTCGACACAGACAGCTCATCTCTCTTTTTGGAGCTTTCATTTATTTCCATATCAGATTGCATGACTGGAATTTTCAAAACAACTGCAGTTGAGTCTTTCCACTGTTCTCCTTTGACTTTGACTTTGAAAAGTCCTTGTCTGGCGGAATGAAGATACACCATCCTGGTGAGGGTCAGAGCAACCTGTAAACAGGACTGTGGTGTTTATAAAGAACACAAATTCCCAAGACTCGCTAAGAACTGGCTTAATAATCCTGTTCAGGACTTTCATGTTGTCATACGTAGACTATGTGCAAAATATGCGCTGGTATTCATTACAGACTTTTACACTATGTTAAATACATTTTCTGATAAATTGTTTTAGTTTCAAATGCACAACAAATGTCCTGCTTTTTATATTTAGAAAAAAATCTTCAAAAAAACCCCCCAAAAAAACCTGTCACCCAAACCAAATGGCCTGGAGTCCAACACTCCCCAAAAGTCCTGAATTGGGTTAATCAGGAAAAACAAACACAAGTAGAAACTTTATCATCCATGAAAAAAGTAATCAGTGGTCACAGAGGGAACACACTGGAAACATGAGTGAGATGCTGCCAATATCATAAAAACGTATGTGCACATGAAGAATTCAGTTACTTTTCTCTGCAGAGACGACCAGCTCAGAGCTTATACAGCAAACAAAGCATCTTGACAATATCACTCAGTTTTTCTTGGTTCTGAGCTACTACAAAACAGCAAACCGAGGCTGGCTCATGAACTCAGAGACTGATTTTGGGTTGAAAATCTTTTGTTAAGGATTTTGCTATAGGCTTACACCCGTTTATTACACCATTACCTCCTGATAAATGGTCAATTTGACCAATATCACACAAAATCGTGACAATCTCAGCCTACTTTAGCAACACAGAACACTTTTTATAACATGACAGCCACTGATTTTAGCCAAATCATTGCAGACAGTTTGTTAATCATGTCGGATTTCATCCTTCAAAACCAAGTATCCCAATGTCATTGATCAAAATGTAGTTATTACACATGATGCTAGTCATAAGACCAATTTCAGAGATCCTTTATGTGAATGTAACCGGGGTGTCCTGAAAACTACACATCCATGCCTCCATGGATCAAAGCTGCTTTGGTGACACAAGTAGACTTACACCACATCAAACGGGTAGTTTTATTGTCACGGCTGTGTGTATTTTTGTGTATAGCTGGTCTGTCCAGGAGCCAGGGATCCTGCATTTTTCACTTTTGGCCAACAGATGGCACCTGCAATTCTTTATCTGCACCCATACAGAACAGTCAAAGTTTCACAGTGAGCTCATCGAGGAAATAATCTCCATTTCTTTTGACAGAACTTTATCCCTATGTGTTGTACCTGGTGGATCTATTATTTTTGTGCCTGATCCCCATCTGGGTGTCCGTCTCCTCCAAACATCCAGCCACCAGCCTCCTGCTCCGCACTGGCTGGGAACCGATCATCACGGCGATGGTCATCAGCAGGTACTCATGCTGTGGTTGAAGATTCTTCTTGACAGCTTAATGCAAAGATGTCTAGGATCACACAAAAGTGTTAGCAAAGGTTCATATAGGACAGGTCACAATGGCTAAGAAAAATCAGCCTTGGCCAAGGATACAATGCACAGAGTGTAAGTTTATTCAAGTATTCAGCAAAGCAGAACACTGTCACAAACTGAGCCCTCTAGAAAGACTGAAGATGTCTCAAAATGGGTCCCCTTTTTATAGCAAAATGGGTGGGTATCATCCCAACCCCCTTTGTCTTTATTTCTTGCTCCCAGAGGGGATATCTAATGGAGGCAGATTCTTATCACACAGTCGGCTTTTAATGTCAGGTTGATATATTTGGATTGTCTTTTTCCACCGGTAGGTTTGCTGACTGTCAGCACATATTTTT